CCCCCCCCCCCTGCGAGGCGCTAGAGCTTTGTCAAGTCGGTGTGTGTGTGTGTGTGTGTGTGTGTGTGTGTGTGTGTGTGTGTGTGTGTGTTTTCCTGCATTAAGTGGCAGAGAGGAGGAGTAACTCGATTCGTCTCAATATCAGATCACGAGCTGAGGATCAACTTTAGGAGGGGGGATGACTTCCACCCCCCTGCTTCGCGGCTTCCTTGTTGTGTTGTTTGTGACCAGAGACTGTCTTTTTACGGAAGTCAGGAGAGAAAGCTGGAGAGAGAAAGTGGTGGATTTTCCTCCCTGGGATGTTTCCTAGCGGAGGCTGAAAGGAAGGGTCTCCTGGTGGATGTTGTTCTTCTTCCTGCAGGGCCAAAACTGTTCTGGTCTTTGGGTCCTAAAGGCACAATTCAGGGCCATCAGCTGTGCAAAGGACCTGCCCCTCGCTCCTTATCCCTAGGGGTTCCCCCTCCTGCCTCCAATTTTTGGCTCTCCATGGGATGGAATAAAGGGGGCTTTGGAAAGAGGCCGAAGGAGCTCCGGTCCTTCCACATGGAGGCCAGGAGGAAAGCAGGACACTAAGGCAACCCGGCCTCTCCCTCTGGGGCGTTCCATCTCCCGGCAGGTCTTTTGTGGAGTGAATGGCTCTGAAGGGTCCGTTCCAGACCAAGTGATCATGAAATGCTTTCCATTCCAGCAGGGGAAGCCAACAGCAAGGCCCCCACCCTTGACTGCAGCTCCTCCAAAATCCTGTGAAGTTTTCAGTGAGCTCAAAGGGAAGAGTGAAGCCTAAACAAGGTTGGGGGTTGGAAGACAGGAGGAGATAAAAGTCCTGAGACCTGAACTCTGCCCGCCTTGAGTTGGCAACCCCACAATGCAGGGCACTGGGCACGGAGGCTGAGGGGTGCCTTTGGAGATGCCCCCTGCGTTGGGATCATTGAAGTGAGAAAAATAAGGAATGGTCCCGTGGCAACAGAGGGACAGAAATCAATGTTGTGACTGGAGAGGTGTGTGAGGGCTTTCTTGGTGCTGGTGTGCTCGAGAAGCTGCCTGTGACTCTTCCTGACTCCAAGCTGAGACGTTCTTCAAGGCAGGAGACCTGATCAGTCCTTTTGGAAAGCTGAAATGAACGGAGTGATGTAACAGGTGTTGCAATTTTTCCCGCACTGTGAGGTTACTTGTCCTTGATTTATGTGAGTTGCTCAACGAGGGGTTCAACCTTCTTCCCAACCTTCAAGTCAGCTTCCATGGCTGTAGGGACTTGAACTCAGGTCTCCCAAGACCTAGTCCAAACCTCGGTCGACTACATCACACAGGCTCTGGTGTTGATCTTGTTTTCCATTTGTAGTGTAGTATTGTGCTGATATTTTAAAAGATTTGTTGTCTTGCTGTTTTTTATTTTTAAATGTTGCCTTTTACTGATGAAAGTAAGCTGCCTTGGATCCTTTTTAATGAGAAGGTTGGGGTAAAAATATTTTAAGTAAATGTGGGAGAAAAACAATCTTCTTTGCTTCTGCTTTCATCAAATGTGTCAGCAGGAAGTACGTCTCTCTGGATTGCGGCTGTTGCCCCCTCCTCACTTTTATTCAAATTTTGCACTTTCTCTGCCTCCCACGTGGTTTTTTTCAGTTCGTAACTCAAATCTAAGTACTTAAGTCAAGTCAATATTTTCCTATGAGAGCGGTTCTTAAGTCAAAATGTTCTTAACTCAAGCCATTCTTAA